GACGTCTGTTTACTGTAGAAATCCTATAGGTATGTTGGTAGAGTCGGAGTCTAGAAGGGTTATATTATATCCTAATGGTATATAAATGTTCAACAACTCCGACGTCTGTTTACTGTAGAAATACTATAGGTATGTTGGTAGAGTCGGAGTCTAGAAGAGTTATATTATATCCTAATGGTATATAAATGTTCAACAACTCCGACGTCTGTTTACGGTAGAAATACTATAGGTATGTTGGTAGAGTCGGTGTCTAGAAGGGTTATATTATATCCTAATGGTATATAAATGTTCAACAACTCCGACGTCTGTTTACGGTAGAAATACTATAGGTATGTTGGTAGAGTCGGAGTCTAGAAGAGTTATATTATATTCTAATGGAATATAAATGTTCAACAATTCCGACGTCTGTTTCCGGTAGAAATCCTATAGGTATGTTGGTAGAGTCGGTGTCTAGAAGGGTTATATTATATCCTAATTGTATATAAATGTTCAACAACTCCGACGTCTGTTTACTGTAGAAATACTATAGGTATGTTGGTAGAGTCGGTGTCTAGAAGGGTTATATTATATTCTAATTGTATATAAATGTTCAACAACTCCGACGTCTGTTTACTGTAGAAATACTATAGGTATGTTGGTAGAGTCGGAGTCTAGAAGGGTTATATTATTCCTAATTGTATATAAATGTTCAACAACTCCGACGTCTGTTTACTGTAGAAATACTATAGGTATGTTGGTAGAGTCGGTGTCTAGAAGGGTTATATTATATTCTAATTGTATATAAATGTTCAACAACTCCGACGTCTGTTTACTGTAGAAATACTATAGGTATGTTGGTAGAGTCGGAGTCTAGAAGGGTTATATTATTCCTAATTGTATATAAATGTTCAACAACTCCGACGTCTGTTTACTGTAGAAATACTATAGGTATGTTGGTAGAGTCGGAGTCTAGAAGGGTTATATTATATCCTAATTGTATATAAATGTTCAACAACTCCGACGTCTGTTTACTGTAGAAATACTATAGGTATGTTGGTAGAGTCGGAGTCTAGAAGGGTTATATTATATTCTAATTGTATATAAATGTTCAACAACTCCGACGTCTGTTTACTGTAGAAATACTATAGGTATGTTGGTAGAGTCGGAGTCTAGAAGGGTTATATTATTCCTAATTGTATATAAATGTTCAACAACTCCGACGTCTGTTTACTGTAGAAATACTATAGGTATGTTGGTAGAGTCGGAGTCTAGAAGAGTTATATTATATTCTAATTGTATATAAATGTTCAACAACTCCGACGTCTGTTTTCTGTAGAAATGTAAAACAATGTAATACTTACGCTGCAGCCATAGCAACATCATGTTCATGACAGTGACCAGCTAGTGTGGTGTGATTTGGTTCAATATTTAACTGAAATATACAAATAAATTTATCAAATTCCGAAAATATTTCAGAAGATGCTAATAGATCAACCTGCATCAAACACTGATACTTAATAACTTACAGGTGTATTATCACAAGGCCACTTTGTAGCCCGGGTGCGTATTATTACCCTTATTACGTGCGCATTATATTGTCAATTGTACAGTATCTATTCCATTATAAATTTCTGCTTGTGAAACGTGTATCTACAATACCATTATTGAACTGGGGATGTCATGTCTCGAACTCTACTTCTAAGCGTTACGAAACAATTGTCGGGAATTGTCTGGAAGAATAAGATGACTGACCTTAAACTCGTGTTCCAGACCGTACGTCTTGAGGAAAGCTATCACAGTCATGGCATCTAAAATATAAACAGTTCTAATAAAATGGTGTCATAAATAACTCTCTATTGTAAAGCTGTATTTCTTAATCTTTATGTACGTTGGGGATCACAATTAGATTCACGACAGGCGTTGGATCTCTATGTTATACTGAGGCTATGCATGTCCTGCCATTTGTGAACGCGAGAACTACTATAAACCCTCCTGTGTGTCCCCTACAACACCTTCAAATCTCTACAAACCCAAGTGGCTTCAGTGAACCCATGTGTACTACACTTGAAAAACTACTATACAAATTTCTTACCGTAATCATACTGATGTTTTGTTGGTTCTTTTGGTTTGGGTTCTATCAATAAAGTTCCATTAAAACCAATCTTCTTTTTATAAGCTATAAAATAATACAATATCGTTGTTTTAGATTATGATTAATCAAGGAACTTTGTGACTCAACCAAATCCACCTAGACATCCACTAGTGTCGTTCTATAACTCTCTATGAGTCTAAACAACTTAAAAATCCATGCCTTAATAATCTAAATCAAAGTTTCTACTTACCAACAACTAATCTAAAGAAAGCAGCCATATTGTCTAATTCTTTCTTGATATTGGTATTCAGTAAGGTATGGTAGCCTTCACGACCTCCCCAAAACACTGAAAAAAAATAGAGCAAAATTCTAGTTTCCTGGAACATAGTGTCCTCTAGAAGCCCTGTGGGAGCAGCAAGGGAGCAAAACCTGATTTCCTTTATTTATACCTGCTACAGTTCGGACCATCTGATTACCATGATACCAATCTAGAACCTAGTTAATCACAGTTTATTTCTATAAAGATATACCAATATAATTACCAAAATTTTCCGCTCCAAGACGCAAGGCCACTTCTAGCCCCTTTTTAACTTGAGCCGCTGCGTAGGCGAAAACATGAGCATCTGGATTGGTGCTAGCTCCGTTCATATATCTACAACAGAATAAAAACATGTTATCTTTGAATAATAATAAATTGGTGTTAAACTGGCAGATTGGGTCTATTATTTATCTATTAGTGGGGGAACAATCCAGCGCTATCAATCCCAGGCGAACGTTCCTCTCGTACTAGTCAGTCCTACCCGCTCGTAGCCGCTCGTTCGTAAAGAGTTCCCTACCAGTAGGGTAAAACTAACCTGTCTCTAAACCCAGCTCACGTTCCCTGTTGGTGGGTTAACAATCCACCGCTTGTCAGATAGACGGAAGTGAATCGCAGAAACTGCCCCAAGCTACAGTTATCTCCTTGATGAAATATAAACTTGATAAAGTTCTAGACTCAATACTCCAGTTAACCTACCTAGGGTGAGCGAACAGGTTACATGTAGCCCATAATAAATGGACGCCAGTTTTTTGTTGAAGTTGTTCAGCTAATTCTACCAAGGTGTCGAGGTTTTTGTTGGAAACTTCCAGGTTCGATCCCTCTGGTGCTATATCTCTGAAAAAATAAATAAATCATCAACAAATGAAATGAAGTTATACACCTAACTGTTTTGCTTCTGGCTGGCCTATTAAGACGACCTAAAAAAAAAGTTCAATCGAAAAATTTTGGCAGATCAGGGGAGGAGTACTATCTTGGAGACTTGAAACGCCATAATGAAATGACAGTGGAATTATTGTTATTCATACTCTTGAAGAATCGTTTACGTACACAGCTTGAAAAAATGTTTATATAACACCTACCTGTCATGAAAGGCCCAATATTTGACACCGAGTTTAGAGAAAAATTCGAAAGCTGCTCTCATTCGTCGTTTAGCATTCTCAATACTGTCACTACCGTCATCCCAGGGTCGATGGAGGGTTGGGAACCCAAAAGGGTCAGCCCCTAAAGAATAAAAATATATTAATACAACTTTAGTGTTTGTATATAATTCAGCACTAGATGTAACATGATAGATAACATTATCATTATGATTGTAAATCTACATGTCCATTCTATGTAATAGACAATCTATATAGAGAGAATATACAAGAATATAAATTCCGTGTGCCGACTCATCGATTTATAGAAATTAGGATTTTGAACCCAGTTCGGCGTTGAACAGTTTCGGCGTTACGGAAACTGTTGATGATTTCCGGATGGATTTGAACTAGAACATTAAAACCTACCGGTGCCTCTAAACGTGTGCCAAAAACAAACAGAAAACCTCAACCATTCTTCCATAGTTTTACCCAACACAACCTGAATGGAAAAACAGTATCGGGTTATAGAGATATTCTGAGTGTAATGGGTGGTATCAAACCCAGTGTGGTGGTATCAAACCCAGTGTGGTGGTATCAAACCCAGTGTGGTGGCATCAAACCCAGTGTGGTGGCATCAAACCCAGTGTGGTGCCAACAAACCCAGTGTGGTGGTATCAAACCCAGTGTGGTGCCAACAAACCCAGTGTAGTGGTATCAAACCCAGTGTGGTGCCAACAAACCCAGTGTGGTGGTATCAGACCCAGTGTGGTGGTATCAAACCCAGTGTGGTGGTCTCAAACCCAGTATGGTGCCAATAAATACTACCGCAAAGACAGACCTGTCCTACAGCAGTCATCGTTTGAATTGTATTAAGTAAAGAAACGACATTATCTGTAGTTTCTTGTTTTCGCTTACCTCCTTAGGGTTGTATGTTTTAAACACCAATGTTTCATTGGCTCCAGCTTCAGAGTTGAATGAAATTTTAGGAATATCTGAAACGAGGATGAATTACATTACGTTTAGATTAACTGGGTTTATTGATTTTAGTAGAGCCTTTAGTTAATTAAGGTAAGATTGCCTATATTACCAGATATAACTATAATATACGAAACATATAATATACCACAAGACTTGCTGATATTACGAGAGCTTTGATGGAATAAAGTTAAATGTCAGTTCTAACTGTAAACGGCCTATTACAAATACATTATAATGATGTTGTTTTATTTTTAACGTATATTTAAATCTATTTGTGTTTATAATACTCATATTATACTTTATAAACTATATATTCTCGTAAGAAGGAAATCGGAACTTTGTCACATACTGTTAGTGTAAAAGGGTTATATTTGAGGAAATGAGTTAAATCTTGAAATATTTATATGAATGTATGTCACCACATTGTATAAATTAAACTAAATATTTATCAAAATACTAATATTGTTACGTTCCTATATTGTGGGGCAGGTGTTCGAGTTATTGTAAATCAAGGCCCATTGAAAATGGAATTTTTTTCGTCCTATTCTTCGGTACCACACAGAGTTATTAAGACGCATGATTCCTTGCCGGGAAACTTGGTCAGAACGGAGACATCTTTTGATCTAACCACATTGGTTATTTTCCTATAGAAATTAGTTATGCTATATACAAAATATATTTACTACAAGCCTATTGACGACTTAAATATCTAGTATCATATAGGACTATTATTCAATTGAAAACATATCGATATTGGCTTTATTAAATTTCCTATGTATCTATTCAAGTTATTTATTGACAGAGGTAGCCTCTCGCCATGTTAAATAAATCCTACCAAACACCCTCCAGATTCAACCTTAAGTGAAAATATTTATAAATCATAAGTAAATACTTACCGGGAAAGAAAACTGCCTCATCGCGATCATACTGGGCATAATCAGCACTTCTCTCGTCTGCAGACGATGATTTGGGTGCAAACGACGACATGTTTTCTGTGTAACTGTCACAAGATAGACTGCAGACGACACTGTGACTGTGTGTATCTAGCGTGTTTCAAGGTCGCAGTATCGCCACGAACCAGATAAAGTGTTAACTCTATATACTTATCTCGCTAAATTAAAAAGGTTTGAGATAACTATATAGTCAACCAGTTATCAGGCAGGCAAATTCTTTTATCTCTAGAGTGAAATTGAGGTCATCACTCGTCCTTTTAGGTCAACACGAAAAGTACTCATGTGTATGTTTTATAAGATACTTTGACGTGAAGATTCCTTTACTATATGCACGTGCAAATTAGCGTCGTGACCTAAATCTCAGTAAGATACTTTAATATTCAGTGAGTTCATGAATCGCTTGAATGAATTAATGGGTTTGGTTTCTCCGTTCATCAGTAAGTCTACTGCGAAGTGCGAAGGATTTGAAATGGAATAAATATCTAGATACCTATTATGCTAAGGAATTAACAATTGATAACAGTTCCAAGCTAAAGATACTTTATTGTCCAGTAAAAGGCATTACAGTTGAATATTTAAATGAACTGAAAACAAAAGTTAATATAATTTATTTTAAAAGTATGTTCATTATTTCAATGTCCTTTGTAAGACTTTATTAATACATGTATACTCTACTTTTATAGTTGCCTAAAACTTCAAAAACTTTATGATAGATCTGAATTTGTGGAAAAACTCTGTATTATGTGAACTCTGTCTATTTCATCTACATGTTTCTCCTTTCATTGTTACGGGTTGAAATCTATATGTATTAATTGGTTAAAGACAGTAATTTGTCAGTTTTGATTATTTCACTATAGATATTAATCTCTCCATTTCACCTCAACTTCATCAGTTCTATATCTCTGAGTACAGGAAGCTTCTTCAAGAGGCGTGGTCATTCCACATTTAAACATTTCAATTCCCGCTTGAGCAATCATAGCACCGTTATCGATACAGAATCGTTCGTCTGTGGCATAGAGTACAGCATCTCTTTCACCTGCCATTAGTTTCATCATTTCTTGAAGTCGTTTATTACAACCCACACCACCAACTATCAAAACTTCTTTCGATCCACAATGAGCCATGGCTCGTTCAGTCGTTTCAACTAACATAGCAAAAATTGTTTCCTGTAGTGACATACATAAATCAGCTGGCGTGTATTCTCCTTTCTTAATCAACTGAGGAGCACGTTCCTCAATATATGATAATAATCCAGAAAACGACACATCCATTCCTTTCACTGCGTACGGTAATTCCAAAAACTTCGTGCCACCTTTAGCCATTTGTTCTATATTATATCCTGGGCTAGGATCATTTGACAGTTTTAATACACGAGCAAATCTATCCAAACAGTTGCCAACAGCAATATCAATTGTTTCTCCGAATATACGGTAACATTTTTGAGAGTAAGAAATAACCTGGGTGTTCCCTCCACTAACATATAAAACCACTGGGTCCACAGCTCCAGTAATCAACCTCCCCATTTCAATATGTCCAATACAATGATTCACACCCACTATTGGCTTTTTCCACAGTTGAGCCACTGTTCTTGCCACTACGGCTGTAGAAATTAAAGGTGCACCCATACCCGGACCTTTCGTGTAACAGACAACATCAATTTGATCAGGGGTGACGCCTGCTTCTTTCAGAGCTGTCTGTAAAATGTCCAAGGCTACCTCTCTGTGATGTTTTGCCGTATCTCGGGGAAGAAATCCTTCGCCTGGTGGAGTAATATACGTGTGTCTTGGATTGGACAAAACAACTCCATCTTTGATAATACCGATTCCCAGCTTATTAGCACTTCCCTCGAATCCAATGGCAATGACCATGTTCAAAAAATGTTTCTAAAGATGGAAAATGGAATAATTTCACAAACCAACACCTATAAGTCAAAATTTTAATTGGATTAAGTCAATTAAACAACTTTTAAACAAATTTTACTACTTTTTGTTTACACATGTTTCGTAAAATTACGTCCCTTGTTTAACTCTCTAATTTATAAAATAAGTAAAAGTCAAGTGGTAGTCGAGATTATCCAGACACTTCTAATTTATGGCTAAATTCAGTATTTTCAGTCATTTCGACCTTATTAGTCGCAGAATTATAAACTTTTAGCTAATTATCCACTTAAGACATTTAAGGCATTTCTTAAGCCTCTTGTAACAACAGACAGCGTAGTGAACACTTACAGTCGGCCCTTGGATCCATTCCTTTATAGTTTGTCCGTTTGGTGATATTTTTGGGTGATAATTTTGTGAGTTGTTTTCTTGTATTTGCTCACGTTCTTTTAGCGACGTTGCACGATGTTTATTACATGTAAAGGAACATGACACTAGCTATAAAACAGTTGGCCCAGATTTATTAAACCATACACAAATACTAATAATAATAATAATAATAATAATAATAATAATAATAAATCATGTTTTACGACACAAGTGGAACTTCACAAATAAACCCGAGACGCCGAGAACAATTCTTGTCATTTAAACTATTTATAGACGGATCGTATGTCAAACAGTTCTGATCAGGATTTAAGTTTGAAGGTTTCCCAGGAACAAAGTAATTATAGTTGGACTCTCCATTTAATAAAAACCATTCATTTTCCCTGATAAAATCATTACCTCCTAAAAACGTCGGCGTATTTAATGGAACTGAAATAAAACATTTTAAAAATCATTGTTACAGCGTAGAACAAGGGAAATCCTAGAGTAGAACAATGGAAATCCTAGATTATAACAATGGAAATCCTAGAGTAGAACAAGGGAAATCCTAGAGTAGAACAAGGGAAATCCTCGAGTAGAACGAGGGAACTCCTAGAGTGGAACAAGGGAAATCCTTGAGTAGAACGAGGGAAATCCTAGAGTAGAACAAAGGAAATCCTAGAGTAGAACAAGGGAAATCCTTGAGTAGAATGAGGGAAATCCTAGATTGGAACAAGGGAAATCCTAGAGTAGAACAAGGGAAATTCTAGAGTAGAACAAGGGAAATCCTCGAGTAGAACAAGGGAAATCATAGAGTGGAACAAGGGAAATCCTAGATTAGAACAAGGGAAATCCTCGAGTAGTACAAGGGAAATCCTAGAGTAGAAGAAGGGAAATCCTAGAGTAGTACAAGGGAAATCCTCGAGTAGAACAAAGGAAATCCTAAAGTAGAACAAAGAAAATCCTAGAATACTAGAGTAGAATAAGGGAAATCCTAGAATCCTAGAGTAGAACAAGGGAAATCCTAGAGTAGAACAAGGGAAATCCTAAAGTAGTACAAGGGAAATCCTCTAGTAGAACAATGGAAATCCTAGATTAGAACAAGGGAAATCCTAGAGTGGAACAAGGGAAATCCTAGATTAGAACAAGGGAAATCCTCGAGTAGTACAAGGGAAATCCTAGAGTAGAAGAAGGGAAATCCTAGAGTAGTACAAGGGAAATCCTCGAGTAGAACAAAGGAAATCCTCAAGTAGAACAAGGGAAATCCTAGAATCCTAGAGTAGAAAATGTGAAATCCTAGAGTAGAACAATGGAAATCCTCGAGTAGAACAAGGAAAATCCTAGAATAGAATAAGGGAAATCCTAGAGTAGAACAAGGGAAATCCTAGAATCCTAGAGTAGAACAAGGGAAATCCTAGAATCCTAGAGTAGAAGAAGGGAAATCCTAGAGTAGAAGAAGGGAAATCCTAGAGTAGAAGAAGGGAAATCCTAGATAAGAATAAGGGAAATCCTAGAGTGGAACAAGGGGAATCCTAGATTAGAACAAGGGAAATCCTCGAGTAGTACAAGGGGAATCCTAGAGTAAAAGAAGGGAAATCCTAGAGTAGTACAAGGGAAATCCTCGAGTAGAACAAAGGAAATCCTCAAGTAGAACAAGGGAAATCCTAGAATCCTAGAGTAGAACAAGGGAAATACTAGAATCTTAGATTAGAACAAGAGAAATCCTAGTGTAGAACAAGGGAAATCCTAGAGTAGAACAAGGGAAATCCTAAAGTAGTACAAGGAAAATCCTAGAGCAGAACAAGGCAAATCCTAGAATCCAAGAGTAGAACAAGGGAAATCCTGGAGTAGAACAAGGTAAATCCTAGAATCCTAGAGTAGAACAAGGGAAATCCTAGAGTAAAACAGGGGAAATCCTAGAATCCTAGAGTAGAACAAGGGAAATTCTAGAGTAGAACAAGGGAAATCCTAGAATCTTAGAGTAGAACAAGGGAAATCCTAGTGTAGAACAAGGGAAATACTCTAGTAGAACAAAGGAAATCCTCGAGTAGAACAAGGGAAATCTTAAAATCCTAGAGTAGAACAAGGGAAATCCTCGAGTAAAACAAGGGAAATTCTAGAGTAGATCAAGGGAAATCCTAGATTAAAACAAGGGAAATCCTAGAGTAGAACAAGGGAAATCCTAGAGTAGAACAAGGGAAATCCTAGAATCCTAGAGTAGAACAAGGGAAACCCTAGAATCCAAGAGTAGAACAAGGGAAATCCTAGAGTAGAACAAGGGAAATCCTAGAGTAGAACAAGGGATATCCTAGAATCCTGGAGTAGAACAAGGGAAATCCTAGAGTAGAACAAGGGAATTCCTAGAGTAGAACAAAGGAAACCCTAGAGTAGAACAAGGGAAATCTTAGAGTAGAACAAGGGAAATCCTAGAATCCTAGAGTAGAACAAGGGAAATCCTAGAGTAGAACAAGGGAAATCTTAGATTCCTAGAGTAGAACAAGGGAAATCCTAGATTAGAACAAGGGAAATCCTAGATTAGAACAAGGGAAATCCTAGAGTAGAACAAGGGAAATCCTAGATTAGAACAAGGGAAATCCTAGAGTAGTACAAGGGAATTCCTAGATTAGAACAAGGGAAATCCTAGAGTGGAACAAGGGAAATCCTAGATTAGAACAAAGGAAATCCTAGAGTAGTACAAGGGAAATCCTAGAATCCTAGAGTAGAACAAGGGAAATCCTAGAGTAGTACAAGGGAAATCCTAGAGTAGAACAAGGAATATCCTAGAGTAGAACAAGGGAAATCCTAGAGTAGAAGAAGGCAAATCCTAGATTAGAATAAGGGAAATCCTAGAGTGGAACAAGGGAAATCCTAGATTAGAGCAAGGGAAATCCTCGAGTAGTACAAGGGAAATCCTAGAGTAGAAGAAGGGAAATCCTAGAGTAGTACAAGGGAAATCCTCGAGTAGAACAAAGGGAAATCCTCAAGTAGAACAAGGGAATTCCTAGAATCCTAGATTAGAACACGGGAAATACTAGAATCCTAGAGTAGAACAAGGGAAATTCTAGAATCCTAAAGTAGAACAAGGGATATCCTAGAGTAGAACAAGGGAAATCCTAAAGTAGTACAAGGGAAATCCTTGAGTAGAACAAGGCAAATCCTAGAATCCAAGAGTAGAATATTGGAAATCCTAGAGTAGAACAAGGGAAATCCTAGAGTAGAACAAGGGAAATCCTAAAGTAGTACAAGGGAAATCCTAAAGTAGTACAAGGGAAATCCTAGAGTAGAACAGTTTAATCTTCGTTATAACAGATTAAAAGTAAACGATTAGCCTACTTACTTGATACATTATATGATTGTATTATGTTCCATTTGAAGTCTGAATTGACGATAAATAGATGACCACCGTCTTTCTCACATTGTACTTGTCCCTTTGTCCAGTTCATGGCGGTATCATAATATTTAGTACACACTACAGTATCGTTCTGCTCGGTAATATTATATCCTAGGTTTACCGGACATTTGTCTGAAATAAAGTCACAGCTTTAATACCTCATTTCACAGAAAATCGTTTCCAAAACAAGCTTCGGCATAATTCAATAAATAAGGTTTTTTTTTTAAATGACACCCCCGTGGACTTTGAGGGGTTAAAGAGAAAGAAGAAGTTTCGAATCGATTACTCACCCTCGAGTTGCCAATAATAATATATTTCAGTTGTCATCTGTTCAGGTGATCCAGCATAGATTCTTCCATTGTACAGATAACACATTATGGGACCAACTGTTACTCCGAACGATTTACAAGGTACGTCATATCGACATAATTCCGCACACTCTTTAACTGAGCTAACTTCTGCAATGTGCGAAAAGTTGGCCAATAATTCATTCCTGTAAGTGATCATCGCATAAACTGTTTCTGGACATCCAGCATGACATCCTAGAATCGTTAAAACTAATAAACATAGAACAATTTTCATTACCGTCAAATATTCACTCATCTTAAGATTTTTGGTTGCTTCGCATTTTACTCTCCAAATAAACTCTGAAGACAGCATTTCCTGTGGATAGAATTTCTACCCAACATCTACCAGTTTACTACTTTGTTGTGTCTCCTTTATTTACATCTTATTTATTGCTTTCATCAGAGCTTCAGCTGAGAGTCAATGTTTACTTTCAGTCTCTACAGTTTACTACTATATCAGTCTCTACAGTTTACTACTATATCAGTCTCTACAGTTTACTACTATATCAGTCTCTACAGTTTACTGTCACACGAAAATTTCAGCTATTTAAATATTCAACCCTTTCACTCTAAAATTGTCAATAAAGTTGCTTGATTCTAGCTTCCAGCCAATCCTGGTAGTTCCATCGTTCAACTGTTTTGTTAATGAAAATCTATATTCAATAGGCTGAGTATTCCATCAGCTCATATAATACACAACACAAGACATATATAAATACAACAGTTATATTTTGATATATACATACAACAGTTATATTTTGATATATACATACAACAGTTGTATTTTGATATATACATACAACAGTTATATTTTGATATATACATACAACAGTTGTATTTTGATATATAAATACAACAGTTATATTTTGATATATACATACAACAGTTATATTTTGATATATACATACAACAGTTGTATTTTGATATATACATACAACAGTTGTATTTTGATACATACATACAACAGTTATATTTTGATATATACATACAACAGTTATATTTTGATATATACATACAACAGTTGTATTTTAATATATAAATACAACAGTTATATTTTGATATATAAATACAACAGTTATATTTTGATATATAAATACAACAGTTATATTTTGATATATAAATACAACAGTTATATTTTGATATATACATACAACAGTTGTATTTTGATATATAAATACAACAGTTATATTTTGATATATACATACAACAGTTATATTTTGATATATACATACAACAGTTGTATTTTGATATATAAATACAACAGTTATATTTTGATATATACATACAACAGTTATATTTTGATATATACATATAACAGTTGTATTTTGATATATAAATATAACAGTTATATTTTGATATATACATACAACAGTTATATTTTGATATATACATACAACAGTTGTATTTTGAGATATAAATACAACAGTTATATTTTGATATATAAATACAACAGTTATATTTTGATATATACATACAACAGGTATATTTTGATATATACATATAACAGTTGTATTTTGATATATATATATATAACAGTTGTATTTTGATATATATATATATAACAGTTGTATTTTGAGATATACAAACAACAGTTGTATTTTGATATATACATACAACAGTTGTATTTTGATATATACATATAACAGTTGTATTTTGATATATACATATAACAGCTGTATTTTGATATATACATACAACAGTTGTATTTTGATATATACATACAACAGTTGTATTTTGATATATACATACAACAGTTGTATTTTGATATACACATATAACAGTTGTATTTTGATATATACAAACAACAGTTGTATTTTGATATATACAAACAACAGTTGTATTTTGATATATACATACAACAGTTGTATTTTGATATATACAAACAACAGTTGTATTTTGATATATACATATAACAGTTGTATTTTGATATATACATACAACAGTTGTATTTTGATATATACATACAACAGTTGTATTTTGATATATACATACAACAGTTATATTTTGATATATACATACAACAGTTGTATTTTGATTTCGTGCAGACAAAGGCTACGTTACTCTTTTTTTGTATAATTCCAATATTGATGGCCAGGGAACCATTCTGAATATAATCGCACAATAGCAATCTTTAATCGGATTAAAAACTGTTTATTTTCTATAAAAGGCGTTCCAGCTAAATAGATAAATTCAGTTGAACATCCGCAATACTGAGTTTTAAAGGAAGTTACCTTTGTCTATCTGAGACTCTTTTTTTATCATGTAGGATATGGTTTACTCTTTGTACGTGTAGGTAAGGAAGTCCGGCAAATTTACGGGACTTTTTGAATGTGAAGGGATGGGCGTGTATGGGGGGGCTGTTTGTATGTGTATGGGACTCTTTGTAAATGTGAGAGATTCTTTGTACTTTGTATGTGTTGGGAACACATTTGTATGTGTTGGGAACTCTTTGTATGTGTTGGGAACTCTTTGTATGTGCTGGGAACTCTTTGTATGTGTTGGGAACTCTTTGTATGTGTAGGGAACTCTTTGTATGTGTAGGGAACTCTTTGTATGTGTAGGGAGCTCTTTGTATGTGTAGGGAGCTCTTTGTATGTGTTGGGAACACTTTGTATGTGTTGGGAACTCTTTGTATGTGTAGGGAGCTCTTTGTATGTGTTGGGAACACTTTGTATGTGTTGGGCACTCTTTGTATGTGTTGGGCACTCTTTGTATGTGTAGGGAACTCTTTGTATGTGTAGGGAACTCTTTGTATGTGTTGGGAACTCTTTGTATGTGTTGGGAACTCTTTGTATGTGCTGGGAACTCTTTGTATGTGTTGGGAACTCTTTGTATGTGTAGGGAACTCTTTGTATGTGTTGGGAACTCTTTGTATGTGTAGGGAACTCTTTGTATGTGTAGGGAACTCTTTGTATGTGTTGGGAACTCTTTGTATGTGTTGGGAACTCTTTGTATGTGTAGGGAACTCTTTGTATGTGTAGGGAACTCTTTGTATGTGTAGGGAACTCTTTGTATGTGTAAGGAGACACGATTGATCAGATAATCTATATTAATATTTTATTCAGAAAATGAAGAGGAAATAAGAAGTAAAAATATCACAGATAAACGTTAAATCAATAATCAACCTATCTATATTTTCTATGGACTAATAATTTCTTATCTATTCTGATATATTTATACATATTTATTATAATATTTAACATTTTGCTACATTATTTTATAAATATACTTCAATAGAGACGAGAAGGTTTCTAGTACGGTGCTGGGTCCCCTTTCAGATCAAATTATACATCAAGTTTGCCTCTCACAATGTAAAATGCTACACTTATGACAAATTCTTATCAAAGATATTTTGAGGAACAAAGTCGTAATTTATATAGACGTAGAGGAGGCAGCTTCCTCCAACTTGAAACAAAACATGAAATTCAGCTTCGGAGTTGTCATATCTAAGGATTTTGCGTTTATTGTGTAAGTATCGAGTTCGGGGAGTAAAAGATGTTTCTAAATACAATGTAAATATTTCTATAACATTCTAAAACTATAATTAACTTACATATAAAATATTTATAAACTTTGAGACAATAGGCACTAAATATATGTAACCTTTCTACCAACAGGATCAACAAATATAAATGGTTCCCTCGCATTTTTGGTGAACAGACTTCAGACTTTACAACTACAGACTTTAGACTGTACAACTACAGACTTTAGACTGTACAACTACAGACTTTAGTACTGTACAACTACAGACTTTAGTACTTCCTATATAAATACAAGGTCAGGGAAATCTCTTTTGAATTTTTACAAGATAATGAGGCAATTGTTTGTTTCATCAAGAATGTCTGACGATTTTCACTTTCAAAGCATTCAGACTTAATATTTAATGAAATCAACCAAGCAAAAACAACATGCTATTTATCTTGACACTTTCTTAAAAAATTACTTAGTCTAAATGGTTATCATATTATCTTGATGATTGGTTGTCATGGTAACTAATAAATAGAATAATAAATATTTAATTTATCAAGAAAAGACTAATTATAATCAAATAATGTTTGAGAAAGATTAGTTTTACCAATCAGTATTAATGGATAAATATTCTGTTATTAGGTAAAAAGATAACTTGACTTGGGAAGTTTTAGTGAGTTTATAAACCCAAATATCAATTTAACTTTATTTTAATAGAAATATTTTTCACTATACTTGTCAATACTCATGTCCTTAAATTACTGGAAATGTTGAATCAATTTAATAAAAATTGACACAGTTAAAATATTGTAATCAATATTTCTTTACTAAAATATATAGAGGAAATATTTAAATTATTAAAATACTATTCAATATATCAATTAATAATTGATTGAAAAATATTTCAACGATTCGTTTTATTTTATTGTTCATAAAGTCAGATTATATCATTAAAATTATTTCCACCATAAAAACACCTCAATTCATTAATATAAACACTTTTTCAAAAACTACCTAGTCAAATTACAATAGATAATTCCAGTTTTCACCTTGATATTAATCTTTACTTTATCAATAGGTAGTTTAAAATATCTTTCTAGTTTATGAATATTCACATTGTTAACAATTGTTGATAAATACATTAATTGTTGAATAATATTAAAATATTTCTATAACATAAGACTATAATAGTTATAGATATCTCTAATGTTAAAATAGGGAACAGTTAATCAAGGCTGTCTAATTTATCTCCTTAAATTTCAAGTAATCTTACAATATTTTATATCAATCAATAGTTTAAACACAAGACTATTAGTTGTCTATTTATTAATGGATGGTACATTAATAAAAGAGTCTTGTAAAAATCTATCTGACTAAATTACTAGAATGTTTATACAATTTATTATACATTTTACTTAAATTATCATTAAATAACTCTCGATGTGATTTCCCACTCAATCTGGCCGCTCTCTCTGTCCAGTAATGACCATTATCTATATAAACTTGACTGAAAATAACAAAGAAATATAGTTAAACGATTAGTCTAAATATTTACTTTACTAGTTGATATAAATATTATTACTACTGTACCAGTTTTAAACAATAGAAATCATGTCATTAACTAATTAATCAATGTAGGTTTTAATTAATATTTGCAGTGTTCCTATAACACTTTAGTTTAGTTATTTACAATTCAAATCAATAAAATGCATTTAACATTTCCTGTTTTCAATGATCTGAAGTAATGGTCTCTTGCTATTTCTCTCAGAAATAAGATAACAATAAAATAGATTCTATAAACTTATTCTTCTTCTATTATTTTACTCTCTCTAATAAATATCATTCAACAATAAAATAACATTTAGTGAATCAAATGTCTGTTTAGAGAGATAAAAGTGGAATATCTAATTATTTGATAAAAACCCAAGATATGATAAAAAATACGCCTAATACCTTTTCAATAAACAATAAACATTAAACAATAAACAATAAACAATAAACATTAGGATTTAAAATATGTAGTGAATTTTACAGAGAGAAATAATACTTAACCAATATCGAGATTAATTTTATTTTAGAGAAATAGAGCTGGGAAGTTGAAATAGTGCAGGAATATTTTTTCATGCAGATAGAAAACAAAACAAAACTTTCCAGATAAAATATGTCATGCAAACAGAACAAAATACAAACACATGCAGGAAAGACACACACTGACAAATACAATCAACACATGTTTTGATATGTGCTTCTTTTAAAATAACATTTATCATTCAAGCAAAGAATTTCTATATAATTTACATGAAATTTCACAACAGTAAAAACAATATTCTTAACTTATATTATTAAGATCTATTATTTTATTCTTTTTGTATCAGGATTTCCAGCAAATAAGTTTTACACGGAATTCAACCCTAACTAACATTAGTTTTATTAGATATTTTAAATTACTCAATTCCCAGATGATTGTTTCTTACAATATAAAAATTTTACAAAGAAAATATAACAATGTTTAGATTCACTTTGAAAATGAAATTTTATTTCACCTTAGTTTTAATCAATATAGTTGTACAGCAGATATCAAAACATACAACTAGTTCAAAACATGTTGATACTTTCAAATTTTTTTAACATCACTGTCGTTCACCTAGACATTATAGTTTATAACATTAGCACTAGGATATCCTAGGTTCTGATCTTCTAACATTGATTCTAGGATATCCTAGGTTCTTATCTTCTAACATTGATTCTAGGACATCCTAGGTTCTTATCTTCTAACATTGATTCTAGGATATCCTAGGTTCTTATCTTCTAACATTGATTCTAGGATATCCTAGGTTCTTATCTTCTAACATTGATTCTAGGACATCCTAGGTTCTTATCTTCTAACATTGATTCTAGGATATTCTAGGTTCTTATCTATTAACATTGATTCTAGGATATACTAGGTTCTTATCTTCAAACATTGATTCTAGGATATCCTAGGTTCTTATCTTCTAACATTGATTCTAGGACATCCTAGGTTCCTATCTTCTAACATTGATTCTAGGACATCCTAGGTTCTTATCTTCGAACATTGATTATAGGACATCCTAGGTTCTTATCTTCTAACATTGATTCTAGGACATCCTTGGTTCTTATCTTCTAACATTGATTCTAGGACATCCTAGGTTCTTATCTTCTAACATTGATTCTAGGACATCCTAGGTTCTTATCTTCTAGCGCTAAGATTGTTTGGAGAATAGGTGGCGTGGAGTAGAGTCAGCCATGTTTTAAACTAGGTGTATCGTTAATTAAAAGATTAAAGAATAAATAAAGAACATGAACCTTTTAGAGATACTTGGGATTATACCTCCTGTATTTAGCCAGACTGGTATCCATAGCGAGGTCGTCTAGAGTATCATGGGTAGGGTAACGGTACCTGTGACTTCGTTCTACAGCCTGAAATATATATCATACTGTTATTATTAACTAATATATAATGATCTGAATGTTAGACAGGACTATGTCACCTTAGTGTTTTAAACCTAATTCTGACTCATGTCAAATAATATTAAAATGATTAGATCTCATCTCACGCTGTAAACATGAGTTCTGGATACACAATCAAGTCCATTCTATTTATAAGGGAAGTAAGTAGTTATAGATACAATATACATCTAGCTTGTATAGGTTCAATTATTATATATTCTACCCTCAAATAAAATGGACTGCTCAAAGAGCAGGAAGACCTGGAAGAGAATAGATATCTATATTTGACAATAGATTAGGTCATAAATAACCTTGTAAAAAGTTTAAATTTGGTTATCAAAATAATTATCTTCAAATTAAAACAACTGATAAATAAACAATGAAAATATAATAGTGATAATTGTATGATAACTATCTATGGATACTATCTTATCATTGTTAAACTAGGATATAAAATAAAATATTAACCTGTCTAGAAACATGCATGATTTCTATACTAGAATATTATTATATAAATATACACACGGAGGGGAAACAGTTATCTTAATTTCTCAGTTTACTCAGCTGATAGTATTTAATTTCAGCTGTCTGTATCACTTACTGCAACTAAATATCTGGCTTGGGGAATGCCTACAATGATGCCTTATGTTAGAAAGAATGTTTACAAAGGCCTGAATACTTTCACTAATAAATGCAGTTTGTTTTTATTTATTTTAAACAAGATGATAAAAGCTGAAATTAAATTTTATCAACTGGAAAAGAGAAATTTAGGTGACTGAATACCTTTAAAAGCTGACTATAAGCAATCTAAAGAAACTGATAAAATAACAGCAACTAAATATTAATTCTTCCACCACTGTTTAAAGCACAGAACCAAATATCATTATTTGTCCATTTTCTTAGAATTTTTGAGAGATGAAGTCTGTCAATAAAAAAAGCCACACAAACGTTTAGGCTACCAATAACCAATAACGTTGATTTCCGAAGATGAGTCTGCTAATTGACTAGTATTTATTTTCTCTGTCTCCATCAATAATGTTTTAAT